CAAGGAGCAGTATTTCCAGCTCCAGATACATTCTAGATACAGAGTTCACTACCAAGGGTGTGGTAGGGTGTAGTGGGAGCAAGGTGTAGGAAACCTTGGAATATTTTCTATTTTGCAGAATTAAGCAAAAGCACAAAAGAGTCAAGGTCATCAGATTTCATTCATGATATATAGTTTTAGGGCAGAGGGAATTGCTTGAGAGGAACATGTTTTTTTTTTTTTTTTTTTTTTTTTATCAGAAGAAGTGTGTGTAGTCAAAAAAAGAAATGAAAAAGAGAGTGGGAAGGGCAGCTGAACCTGTCTGATTTCTGGGTGATCTTAGAAGAAATCCAACCCCTCTGGGACTCACTTTCTACTTATGAAGATTTTTAAGGTCCTTCAAATACTAATGCCCTATTCCAAGTATGCCCACCTAATACATGCCCTGATGCCAAAAAAAAAATCAAATGAGTCCATGTTCTGTCTATTCCTTTCTATGTCTCTCTTTCTAGGGTAGAGTCCAAATAAGACTAGAAATAAATTTCCCTTTAGGTGAAAAAAAAAATGTGTTTAAAGGACTAGCCAGGTCCTTCATAAAAACACTTACTTTGAAATAAAAGGAAAAATTACATGTTCAAAACAAAGAGTACATTCATCAAGAGGGGACTCAGAAGTTGTTCTCTCCCTCTTTCCATATAACGCAGTGAATCCCTGTAAAGGATCATACCCTGGCACTGCTTCCTATTTCAGCTGCTTCTCACCAAACTCTGAAAGCCAAGAAGAATTGATCAGAAGTCTCTGGATATCATAGAAGCATGGGGATGTGCTTTTCCCAGCCCCTTTGCAGAAAGAACTCATTGCCCAATCTGAAGATGGTGGCCAGAAGACAGCTTCCAGTTGCCAACTTTTAGGCCCATCTCAGCTTTTGAGGTGAAGCCACCATGATCTTGTGAGGGTGCTTAAGACATTGACCAAGCAATGTGGGTGTACCGGGCCTACTCATTACTACCCAACCAGGGTCCTTCTAAATAGCCAGTCTGTGCTACTGAGGGCCCCACTGGGCTGGCAGCAACTCTGTCAGGCTTAGTTCCTGCACAATTCTATTTCTTCTCCTTTTCTTTTAGTGACATTACTTCCTTTTGCATTCCCAGCCCCTGCTTCCCAGAGATGCTAGTCATTCTAATGTACTGGCACTATTTTTTTTCCTTTTTTTCATAAAGGACTTTGGACAGGCTTTAGGAAGTCTATCTTTGAGCTATAAGATTCTTGCCTTTGTGGCATGTGGACCTGCACATTGATTTCTTTTCCACTCTGTTAGTCACAGTCACCTAGAAACTTGAATCCCATCACTTTTAGCCAATGGTTCTCAAACAGGGGTGCACATAAGAATCAACCCCAGAGGATTGTTCACTATGCAAATGCCCAGGCTCCAGAGGAAAAGGCATAATTGGCTGAAGACCACAGGTTTCAGCATCAACTTCTCTTTTCCCTTGTTGAGTCTCTTCTGGAGATAGCATTCATCTTGCCAAAGAGCATTCCAGAAGGTGAAAAGTGTACTTCATTAAACAATCAATGAAATGATCCCTATTTAATCTCTAGATACTTTCATAAGTCCAGTTAGTAATGGTAAGTCCAACTAGTAATGATGTAAACTCATGTGGAGGCATAATGCACCTTCTTAGAAGATATGCAAAGGCTAGCCCCAAATCATTTAGCATTTACCTTCCATGGAAACTGTAAAGAAGTTTGCTGTATTCTATCCTTTCAGTGTTAATTGTAATTGTTGTGCCGTAAGACGTGGTTATGTTCTTATTTCACAAACCAAAGTTGCCAGGAATCATCAGTTGTGATCCCAGCCTCTTCTGTTATTTGGGAGAACTTATTTACATAAACGTCAAGGGAGAATATCAGCCTTTGTGCTTCCTGGGTCACTAAATAAAACCCCTGTGTACACATGTAGCTTTGCTAGTAGACTGGAGGGGAGCTCTGGTAGCATAGTGCCTAAGGCACTTGACTGCTAATCAGAAGGCTGGCGATTCAAACCCATCAGCCACTTCTCGAAAGGAAGGTTGGGCAATCTACTTCCGTAGTGATACTGCCTTGGCAACCCAAGGAGGGGTAGCTATGAGTCGGGTCCAACTCGATGGCACATAGCAACAACAGGAGACTGGAGTTTTATTTCAAGGTGAAGTTCATATCTGAAGATGATCTGAGCTGTGATTCTCTAGGACAGGGAAGCCCTAACTTCCCAAGAGTACTAGTCCCGGAAAGAAGAAGTGGAGCATTCTACCCAAAGGGAACTATTTGGCATTTTGACAAGGCTTCTCACTCAATCTTTACAGCAAAAGGAAAAAAATAAAAACACAGGTCCAAAAGGAATGGAAACATAGAGGGCTGTGCTTTGGAGAAGGGAACTTTCTCTTAATAAATGGTAAACTAGTTGCTATGAACTCTACTCCAACTCATGGCTACCCCATGTATATCAGAGTAAAACTGCTCCATAGGATATTTAATGGCTGATTTTTCAGAAGTAGATTGTCAGACCTTTCTTCTGAGGCCCTCTGGATAGCCTTGAACTGTCAACTTTTCAGTTAGCAGCCAAGGTTGCTAACCATTTGCACCACCCAGGGATTCCATCTTCCAAAAATAAGAAAGACTAGAGTTTGGGACAGCTGAACGAACTTGGAGAAATAAAGCCATTGCTGAGCTCTGATGATGTGAAAATGTTAACGGGGAAGGTGGCTCTCTGAAGGCACCACAAACCGGAGAAAACTCCTTAAGAAAAGGAACTTTAAAGTTACTTTACAGTCACTGTCCCTAGGTATTGGCAGCACATGATTAAACACTAATTTTGTTAATGATAATTGTTAATTAGTGAGCTCTGGTGGCATAGTGTGTAAGGCATTTGGCTGATAACCAGAAGGCTGGTGGTTCAAACCCACTAGCTGTTCTGCAGAAAGATGTAGCAATCTACTTCTGTAAAGATTTACAGTCTTGGAAAGACAATGGGGGTCACTATGAGTCAGAATCAACTAGATGGCAGTGGTTGTTGTTGTTTAGTACAACGCATACTGTGCCTATTCTCTAAATGCCTTACTCAGAATTTACTAATTAAGTAAGTTATCCTCTGTGTCTCATGGAAAAGACCCAAGTGTGAATACTCCTCTCTCACCTACCAGCTGATGATGAACACCAAGATGCTGTTAAACTCATTGGACTCCCATCTCCTGATTGCAGGGCTCTGCTAGTTAAGGTTGTTGTCAATTTGGCTGGGTCTTGTTGAGTGGCTGGGCAGCTGGAGGTAGTTATTCCCCATGAAGAGAATGACAATCAACTCCATGGTGGAATCTGCCACGAGCAGCTGAGTAGCTGCTTTAGGGATGTGGTTTGCATCCCGTATATAAGGAGAAGCTTTGAAATTGGTCTCTAGCCTTTTGGCATGTTTGAACCGTGCAGGTAGCCAAGTCATTGTTCAACAGCCTGCCATGCCCTGCCAACCTTGGGATTTTGTCTGGACTTGTTAGTGGCCTGCCATGTTGTTTGGTGTGGTGGTTAAATTTGTGTGTCAACTGGGCAGCTAGTGGTAGTTAAGTTATTCCCCATGATGAGACTGGCAGTTATGGTGGGACCTACCATAGGCAGCTGAGTAGCTGCTTTAGGGAGTGGTCTGCTTCCCAGATATAAGAAACAGCTTTGGGAATGGTCTCTAGCTTATGGCATGCTTGAACCCTACATGTAGCTGTGTCATTGCTGGGACTTTCAATGGACTTGAATTAATGGCCTGCTGTGTGGTTTGGTAACATCAGGACTGTGCCATTTTATTTGTCAACCTTGGGCTTATCAGCCTCAGCAGCCAGTAGCTGCTTGAGTGAAGAGTTGCCTCTGGCTTCAGTGGGCCAGGAGCAAGAGGCAGAGCTGAAACCCAAAGTTGAGGGGCCTTCACCCAGCCCCTAGAGCCTGGCACTTTGAACTTGGACTTAAAGCCTCCAAAACTGTAAAGAATAAAGTCCTATTTGTTCAAGCCATTCTATTTATGGTATATTCCCATCAGAGTGGGACCAGGTAACCAGAACAAGGGCTTTTTCAAGTATTATTTAGTTGAATATATATGTGAGCTTGCTTAGAAGATTTGCAAAGTGCTATGCGAATGTGAAGTTTCATTTATTTTAAAACAAAAGCCTCATTTATGGATGGCCAAGCGAGTATTACCAAGCAGCTATAGAGCCCATGGGTCAGGATGCCAGCTTCACCTCCTTTAGGGCCCTGCTCCTCACTTACCTAAGGGGAGATTTTAGAGCAGTTACTTAACACTATGGCTCAGTTTTCTCCTATATAAAATGAAAACAATGATCGGACCTACCTCTTAAGATTGCTGTGAGTAGAAAGACACTCACACATGAAAAGGGTTCAACACAAATCAAAGCACATAGCCAATATCAGTAAATGTTAGCTCTTTTATTATTATAAATCAGAGTTGCCAAAAAAAATTACAAAATGAAACATAGGAAGTCTTTGAGGGAAGTCTGAGGTTAGATAGCACTCCCAAAGATAGCCAGCCCAGCTACAGAGACCCCTTCCAATGAACCCACAAACCCTCCAAATGACCAGCCTGACTGAAATCAGGTGAATCCAGGGGAGAAACTGTCACTTTTGTCTCACGTGTCTGAATTATCTGTAAGTACCCATCACCCAGTGGAGCTCTTGGCTGTAATTTTAGAAAAATCCATTATAGTGTTTCCAGGTACAAATTCACTTGTGACAACTATACATACACATCACACAAGAGACACTCGACATGCAAAGAACATCATCTCAAAATGGATCACAATTGGATTCTGGGGCAGATGCAGGTGGTGGGGGAGGGGCAGAGGATGGATCTCAAATGTCAAGGCCACCCTTGAGATTATTCTGGGTTGGGGCAACTACCATGGTCTTTGGGAGGAGGCACATTCCATTATGAATGGAGTGGTTTATAATGGAATGACATGGATGGTTTCTTATAATCAGAAAAACACACTGACCTTCACACTACACAGGTGCAGCAGCATAATGACCCACCGCGTGTACACGCATCAATTCCTGGGGAAAAGTCCAACGAGGTTAACTCAGCGTGCATCCCAAGCAAGCAAAATCAGTGACATTACCCACACAACATTGTTCCCCCACCCAAACCGAGGTACCTGCCTTGGCCAGCTTACTTGTAAAAGGAAAAAAAACACTTGTAAAAGGATCATACTCATTTTAGTAAATGGGTAAAAACTGGCAAACAATATTAACTTATGTCATAGATTATTTGATTTGAATTTTAAAATGTAGACTTTAGACTGTTAGAACCACAAGTCTGAAAAAAACCATTCTTTTTCCTCTTCAGGAATCTGTGGTATGAGGTGCAGGAGGGGAAGAAAGTTCTCTTTCCTTGGGGCTTTAAGAAAAACTACCTAAAAGTATCCTCAGATAGGCTCCATTCATAAGACCCCTCTACGAAAGAAGAGTTAGAGCTGCAATTAAAACTGCTGAATGTGTCTTCAACTTTTTCACAGAGCCTTTACTGGCGCAGACATTTACATCCAGTATGGTTTCTATCACCCTATGTGGCAACCTACTTGGCATTGTTGCCCCCACACACACACACACACACTCCCTTTCCTCCATCAGCAGTTAAGAATAGAGAAACCTGTCCAAGATTAGCACAAAGGACTTAAACTGAGAGATGCTGGGCTAGGAAAAATGCTGGTAGTACACTTCAAGGGACCCTTAAGCCCCACATCACTTTGACACATAGGCCTTTATTCTGGTCTTATAATCTCTGAAATTAAAAGTCTCCCTGAATGTAATCAATATGGTTTTGTTCCAGAAGAAAGCAATATATGAAGTCAGCATTCCCAAACCCCAGTGAAACCCAAAACTTTGCTGACAAAAGAGTTTAAGAAACAAGTAGCAAGGCTGCATTCTGGATGCATAGATTGTGCTCTCATCCATGGTCCAAGCAGATGTGCACAGGGGAGAGAAAGAGGATTCAGCATCCACTAAGATCTTGCTCTGTGTGAAACACCACACTGGGTGCTGCTTGACTCCTTGTGGTGGTGGACACTTTGTATCACTTTCCTTGAGGCCTCTTTCCCTGTCATGACCCCAGGTTTCCCAACCGTGTCTTATGTGCTTCTGCTCTGCTCTATTGTCAGGCTTGTCTTCACTCACCATTTCCATGTTGGAATAGATGGCGCTTAGGTCCTCATATACACTGAGGGTCCATATGCCTGCCCACATCTTCAATTACTATTTGAATACTGACAACCCCCAACTTTCTATTGCAGCTCCAAACGCATCATGTTGTTGTTGTTATGTGCCATCGAGTCAGACCCGACTCACAGCGACCCCTCCTTGGGTTTCCAAGGCAGTATCACTACGGAAGTAGATTGCCCAACCTTCCTTCCAAGGAGTGGCTGGTAGGTTTGAACCACCAGCCTTCTGGTTAGCAGTCAAGTGCCTTAGGCACTACGCTACCAGAGCTCCTGCTCAATTAAATAGTTGTTGTCATTTAACAGTAAAACATACTTAATGTCATCATAGCCACCTCAAACACAGTCCAAAAGGAACTCAGGATCTTACTCCTCAAATCTGATCCTTTTCCCAAGCCCCAAACTTAGTAATGGTTCCTCCACCCATGAAGATCACCCTGTCAGGAACTTGGGGATCTACCTCATATTCTTTCTGTTCATCCACTCAAGCATTGAGTTTTTATGATCTTACCTCCTAATAGTTCTAGAATCCATCTACTTCTCACCATTTCTACTACTTCCATTGGGCCTAAGCCACTATGGTCTCCCTTCAATTCAACTCCCACCCAACTCAGTCAATCCTGACTTGTCTCCCCATATCCACTGTTGTGCCCTCAAACACATTCTTTACCAATGGGTAGAATGATTTTTTAAAAAAGAGAAATCTGATTGTGGCACTTCCTTGTTTCAGTGGCCTCACATTTTGTCTAAAATTCACTCACTTATTTTATCTGGTTTGAGATTTGTTTCATCAAACACGTAACACGTATGCAGAGTGTGAAATGATATCTTTGCCTCCTCCCTGGCTTTTATGTCTCATTACTCCATCCCACTCATGATACTCCTCTACTTGAGGAATTTACAATTCTTAGAGACACTCACTTCACCATTCTGTGGAGAACATTCCCCACTGCCTCATATGTGCCTCTCTGAGCCAATCCTCTGACTTCCTCCTTCCTTCAGCCTCTGTCTTCTGCCTCTGCTCTTTACTCCCACCCCGTATGGTCCAGGATAGTTGCTCCTAGAATAGCACTCTTTACTTCTGAAGTCTTAGAAAATAATTCTAACCAACTAATATCGAATTATTTAACATTTTTCAAAGTTGGTCCAGAGATCTCTGGGAGTGGGACTGTTATCTTCAGTATAGTATCCCAGTGCCTAGCAGTGTAAGTAGTACAAAGGATATCTAATAAGAATTTGATCAGTCTTGGAGGAAGTACAGCCAAAATTCTCCTTAAAAGTGAGGATGGCAAAACTTTGGCTCCCTTACTTTCAACACATTATCAGAAATGATTGTTAGAAAAGAATATTTTGTTTGGCAGAGGGTCAGTGATAAAGACGGAAACTTATAATGAGTTGGATTGACACAATTTCAGCAACAATGAATTCAAACATACCAATGATTATGAGAATGATGTAGGACCAGGCAATGTTTTCTTCTATTATACATAAGGTCACCATGAGTTGAAGCCAGCTTGATTGCAACTAATAACAACAAATAAGAATATGATGAAGGAATGAATGATCAGGGACTAGACAGACAGTCCTTGAAGAACTCACAGTTTAGACTTTAGAAGATACAGAAGGAGTCCTTTGTTGCATCTGTTCTAAGTCAAATGATGATACAATTAATCAAACATACACACACACACACACATTAGCAGAGTAAGCAGAAGAGAAAAAAAAGTTCATTCAAATTAAATATTATCTATTTCTGTAGCACTTAACACTGTGCTTGCTGGCTTTTGTTTTGTTTTCATTTTGACAAAGTAATTCCTTTTTACAGTTTACTAATTGCTTAACTGCAAAACATGGCCCTGGAAAAAAAAAAGGCATTTTCAGAAAGAGGAGTGGGAGCAGAAGTGGAAACTTTATGAATAAAGTGAGCAAAATTCGAAAGAATCCAGCTCTAGTCCTGAAATCTCCACTCCTGACTAAGGTGGAGCTGGAAGGAACTCTTTCCCATCAGGAATAAACCAGAACCCAAGGACATTAAGGAGTGAAGTGGGGGTCCAAGTGAGCTGTCTGCATGCAAGCAACAACATATATGCTTCTACCCTCTTCTTTCAGCTTTACATATCTACATTTGCTATTAATTCCTGGCATATGTGATACAGCTTCATAACAGTGAATAAATGAAAAGAAATCAAGCAGAGGAAAATCCAATAAGAAATACTGGTATGTGGGATTAACAAAGTTTACTTTGTAAACCATCTGTGATTAAACAATTCTTTCTTCAAATTGCAAGTAATTTAGCAAGTTGTTGAGTGAGTAGGCTTGGGACCATGGTCACAGGGAACATCAAGCTCAATTGGCATAGCATAGTGGCAAAAACATTGTTCTAGGAGACTTCCTGTAAAATGGCGGATTAGGCAAACAAGCTACACAGACCTTCAACAAAGAAAAGAGAAACTAACTGATACAGATACAGAAGATAATCCTGGAGCCCTGAGCTTTGAAAGGATGGATACAGACATGGATTAAACATCAACTAGTAGAAGGACCTGTATGAAAACAGTGAATAAGGAGACAAACGGAGGTGCAGACTATCAGTGATCCTGACAGTATGGACAGTTTGAATATTTCCAAGCAGTGTTAGGACCTGAGAATTAACATAAAAATCAGCCCTACTTACCAAGGGCTGCATGTGTGACTGTACTGGTGGCTGATGACTAAAAACGAAACAGCGAAGAAGGAGACAAACTGGGCTGTGGCCTTTCAGCCGTCTTGAGGGTATAGCCATTTTGAATGTTTAAAAGTGGTGCAATCATTTTGGATATTTAAAGTGACAGCATTCTCATTCAGATTCCAGGGACCTAAGAATAGGCTCCACTTGCCAAGGTCAGCACGGACATACCGGAGGCTGATGACTGGAAAGGTGCAATATTCCCCTTGTTACTCTTATACCCTACACCTTCTTGGTAAATGGAAGTGCAGCCATCCCTCACCTCCACCCACTTTCTGTGCTGGCAGGAATTCCATCCCAGTCTGTGTATTCTGAAGGAGCCTGGGTGCCCTGCCCCGCTTCCCCACTCCTCCACCAGATTTCTTTTTTTTTAATTCCTTTTTATTTTTATTCTTTCTTTTCCTTCCCATGTTGTAGTTTTTGGCCTTGTTTTTTCTCTTGTCTTTTCCGGGTTCCCATTTTCTTCTTCCTTATGGTTCTTCCCACCCTTGTTTTTCTTTTTGAACTTTTTTTCATTTTTTTTTTTTCATTATTTTCATTATTCTCTTACTCTAGCTCTTTTCCCTTATT